TGATGAGGAGGCATGAGGAGGAGGTTGATGATGATGATCCTGCATATGGAGATGTTGGTGACTACGATGATGGTGGTGATGGAGATGTCGGCGACTACGATGATGAATCGAACCTCATAAACGAGACTTGTTGGTCTCGGATTAATTTTTTCTTACACAAAACTAATAGAAACTTATGAAACACGAAACATTGTCATTTGGACCCAATATAAATATACGAAGTACTCGTTTGGATGATATACAACACCGAGGTTGTCAATTAATGATCTTTCCTCCGATCCCCAAAGCCTCAAAAAGATACTTTGGCATATAAAAGCGTTCCTAGGTCGAACAGAATGGACAACTAACCCTCTTTACATATTGTTTATAAAGAAAATATGCCTGGACACATAATTATGATTAGATGAAAGAAATGTTTTGTGATTAGATGAAAGAAATGTAAAATATCACTTTAGGAATACAGTAATACGATTTGCCAATGTAAGTATACTTTTATTTCAATTAGACGAGAAAGTTGGACAGTCCATTTGGTGGCATTATCTAGCAATCACTATACCGGATAAAATCAGCCGACCCGACTCTGGCTTCCTTTACATTACCGGTGGTAATAACAATGACAGGTAAGAAATGATGAAACGGAACCGCTCAGGTACGTAATCAGGGGCGGATCTGGATTCAAATTCAAGTGTGGGGGTGGGGGGGGGAGTCAGAATGTTTACATAAAACCCCAAAAACAAAATCAAATTTTTGATTCATAGATGGCGGGAAGTGAGCTTTCCCGACATCTGAGGTTTCCTTATTGTTAAAATCTTCAAAATTCAAGGTTTTCCCCCTCTTGAGAAGGTCAGGTAAATTTTCCCATTCTCATTACAGTAAATAGGCCTATTATGTGTGCATACATACATTTAAAAAAATGTTGCATACGTATTCTTTTTCATTCATGAATCAATAAACCCCGAAGAGAAAATTTGGGGATGGGGGGAGGGTGCTTTTGAGTATGTAAAGCGTGGTAATAAAATTGTTATAAGGAGTTACATCACATCATCTAGTCCTAAACGGTGTAATCGCATAATGGTTGGGGGCCACAAGAGATTGAGTATATGATAGAGGAAAGTAGATTTTAGATTGCTGACTGGTTGAGTTTTAGAGTTCAACCGTCAATTTCGACATATATGCATCAAAAGTGTATTTTTATTCGATAATATATTATTTATCATTTTTAAGTCCACCAGATTCTCTTTCTGATGCTGAAACTCTGTTGATGTCATTAGCTGCATTGCAAACAGGCTCGTAAGTAAATGACGATATAACCTAACATAATCAAACTCAATTGGCCATCTATGCTAGCAACTCCAAACTATGCCAGGCTCCGTTGTAACGGAAGTAAAATAATAAAATTATTATTATTATTATTATTTAATGTTTAATGATTGACTTTTTACGTCACCAACTTTCATATTGAAATTGAATAGAGCTCATTTGCACTTTCTAGTCAGAATATTATTGTCTGAATTATATTTAATTGCCAACAGAGTCTGCGCAGTGCTAAGACAAGTTCCAAATCAGCCAGTTGTCTTTCCGGTAAGTTGGTATTAAAGTTCATTGTTGTTTCGTTTTGTATTGTCAAACCTTTTATTACTAACTACTCGAATATAGAATTTTTAAAAAATCAGCCAGTACGTGACATAAAATATCATTAATGTACAGCGCATTTTTTTTGCAGATGCGAAGCACTTTTGTTCCCAGTCATTGCGTAGGCCAAGTGTTGTTTCTGTAATAATCAGCGCAGGAGCAGGCGATAGTTCCTTGTTAAATGAAATAGCTGAATTCACATGAGCGAAGGATTGAAAACCGTTCCCGCTGTGCCAAGCTACTTCTACCACTATGGTGGGTGGAAGAGGAAGGTTTGTCTTACCTCTCGAACCTATGCGCTGACATGGCTCTACAAACTGCCCCAGAGTGCCATCAAATTTTATTTTAGACTTAAAACTTTAGGGGACACTCACTCTTTCATTGAGTTTGCATTTCGTTTTCTTCTTGTTGCTCTGCAGGGAGATCCTTTGCAGAAAAGTCGTAAAGAGGATGGCATCATCGCATACACGTGGAGACACTTCATTGAGAATGGAACCAATGAACCGTACTGGTTGTTAAGGATGCCCATGACAAAGGTAACGCGACCGTGTCAGTGGCGTATCCCCCACCCCCATACTCGCGTCCCAGTTACCCACAAAAACCACGCTACAGTAATTAAAAGTCACCTAAAATTACGTTATTTTGCGAGCTAGCACCCCCGTACATAATCATCGAGTCCCGCTTCATCTTCGCCCCCATCCCCACCGTTAGCACCATTAGCGCCCCTCCCTTAAGGTTCCTGTAGAGACGTCACTGGTCCGTGTATCAAAAAGATAAAGTATAGTTGTCATTGATCGGGAAGTTGCGTACTTCTTGATAACATCTCTATGTTATCACATGTATTGATACACCTGTGTGCTGTTATTACGTAATGATAATTTGCATTCCATGTTGCATGTCCCGTGTAACATAAGCACTATTGCCGGTGCGTCGTGAGAGGATTTGATTTTGAAACGAAGTGCTGTTATTTTGCTGTTTATTAGTATCTGGTTCTCCACAATGTTTTTTTACAACTTCTGACGTGATCTACTTAGCATGATTTATTCAGGGTTTCTCCACCTTTGAATGAATCTGATATGAGAAGTTATTAAAGAGTTTATTCAAGTTTGTGGCAACCTACAAATGATCGACTTGCTTATTTTGTTAAAAGGAGCCATACACGCTCATAATCTGCGGGGATGAAGCTAGCCCAATCAATACCAGATTTACAACACGACAAAACTGTACCAATGATAGCGCTTAACTGATAGATCACTTTAGACCAATAAGATAACGCGTGTAGGAATGATAGCTGTAGACCAATGAGAGCGTCGAACCGAGATTGATATACCGACGAGATATCACGATGATTGTTAACAATGCTATGATGCCTGCTCCATTATACAAACAAATTATTCTGATATTGGATTCAGATTTACGTGTTACTACCAAAAATACATTTATCTATTTTTTTTTTTTACATCCTTTAACGTTTTGTGATCTCTTCCGTAACCTAATGATATTATTTGTTAAAATTGATACGGGATCGAGTAGCAAATCTCTAAATTTGCTTGTCCTAAAGCTATCGTGACGTCATCATTTCAGGCTGGCGTCAGAGCACTGGATACAATGACCGACTTTGTCAAGGGTGTACGGTCAGAAGTTAACTTGAAGAAATTTGTCGTCGCAGGAGCGTCAAAGGTAGACTGTCAAAAAAAATGTTACTTTTTTAATTGGAAATTACTGATAATAATGACAATAACATTGATTGGCTGGTCTATAAAATAATGATGATGTCTCTGTTGATAATGCTGATATGATTATTATAAAGATGACAACGATGATAGCGATGATGATAAGATGGAAATGATGGTTGTGATGAAGACGATGATGGTCATGATGTCGATTACGACGACGATTGTGGGGACTGTATGCTGATGACGATTGATTGATTGATTGATGAATATTGATTGGTGGTGGTGATGGTGGTGGTGATGATGATGATGATGATGATGATATGATGAACAATATGTTGATGATGAAGATCATGATGTCACTGACGATGGAGACGACACCAACAATGACGACGATGATATTTGGAGCGTCAAAGGCATGGGGATGAGTGTGTATGGTGGTGATGGTGATGATGCGGAGGATGGTGATATGTTATGATGACGATGATTATTGTTATCATGAAGATCACAGTAATGGTAGTGCTACTGTTGGTAATGATCATGTAGTATTATTAATGTTAATTTGAATCTCGATCTTCATTTGGTAGAGAGGGTGGACAACGTGGACTTTAGGAGCCGTGGACAAGCGCGTAGTAGGAATTGCACCCATGGTGTTAGATTGTCTTAATTTCGTCAAAGTGAGTATGTCCAGTATGAATGCTGTACCAAATCTTTAATTGTCAGATAAAATAATTTAGGCCTAAATCAAATCGGAAATTAATTTTACAGATCAGATTACAATGTGTGGGCCTAACGTGTCCTATAGTAACTGCACCATTATATCCAATGTTTTCTCATACTTTTTCTCTATCGTACTTTATTTTAGAATCTGCATCATCATTATCGGTCTCTTGGAGGCTGGACATTTGCTCTGGATGATTATTATGAAGAAAACGTCACCAAAGATCTTGACCACCCAAACACACAGAAGATGTGTGACATTGTTGACCCTTATGGTGCGTGAGCTCTATCACCGTTTGTGTTCATTGAGATGCTGTGTGTTTAACCAGCGGCGGGTCTACAACTCATTTATAATCTTCGTTATGCCTAATGTCAAAGAGTATAAATAGAACAAGAGAGCCAACAACGCTCATTGAGAGCGTAAAAAAACGATACGCCCTACGCAGCTAGTGTAGGGCGCCAACTAACGCTTGTATGTTTTTTATTACCCGGTACTCCACCGCGCACGGTCGGTTTGTCTGTTTATCTGTTCTCCACAAGATACTGTACTTTTGTTTTCTGCCAAAGATCTTATAAACACAAGATAGCGTTCTCCGCGATTTACGCGTGCAAATTCTGTAATAAGGCATGAATTGCGCCCTCTTGCTAAATTGGAAACTTTTGACCATTGACCGCTCTGACCATACCGTACACCGTGAACAGCAGAACAGGAACCATCTCAGATCCATGGCAACAGATAGGACGCCCTCTTCCAAAACTGATTACTTTTTCTCTTTGGTATAATAGCGCACTGGGTAATAAAAAGAACATACAACCGTTAGTGGGCGTCCTACACAGGCGTGACGTTTTTACGAACGGGACTTTGCTCTCTTGTTCTATTTATACTCTTTGCTAATGTGATAAATATGTGTTAAAGCCATAGAGCCAAGCACTAACTGCGTCCGACGATCGTCGTTCGACGCGATTCTATAGAGAACGCAACGCCATAACGCGCGCAACGGATCGTTTTTAATGACAATCCGTTCAGACTATCATCGACAATCAGCAAACTGCGTCGCGTCGTCAAACGCTCTTGGGGAGCGGAGTTGGATCCGTCGGCCGTCGGTCGTACGACTGTCTTGCGACGCAGTGAGTGCCTAAATTTGTTACCCTAAAAATGTCTATAAAAACACAAAATGAATCATGTTGTTGACTGCTGTATCACCAACACACAGACATGAACAATATCCATATGTTTATAATTAGCTGAACATATCTACTTCAATTTATAATTAAATATCTTTGTAGCATATCTTGATCGTCTAACGATGCCGAAGTACATCATTAGCAGTTCAAGTGACGAGTTTTTTCTACCAGACGATTCTCATTACTACTACGACCAGATGAAAGGACCAACGTACCTCAGGTTAGTATCGATCTATCAATCATTCAGTTTATCAATCGATCAATTAATCGATAATGAAGGGCACAATGAGACTATGAGAATACTTTTTCATCGCAGTGTCCTGGACCTGTCTCTTATACACATCTAGATGTGTATAAGAGACAGGTGTTATACAGTACGATTTATGTGCCACAGCATAGAACAACAGTAGAGCATTGAACTGTAAGTGGTCTGGCTAGCGTGCAGACGGGTGGTAAACAAACCTATATTTAAAAAAGAAATCGGGTCGGTGGCCTCTCTGATGGTAGGGAGGGGATGCTAACCACTAATTTTATTTTACATGGCCTAATATTGATAATTATCCGTCACCTTTATCATTATCACCATCCTCAATCCCATCCCTCATAACTATTTCGTCGTAATCATCATCGTTTATATAGCCAGAATCACTATCACCATCATTATTATCATCTCATATCCCATTCCTCATTCTGTTGTTGTTGATAAATAATCATCATCGTTGTCAGGCCCGTATCCAGGGGGTGGGGTTTATTGTTCGGGAGAACCCCCTCTATTCTAGCAAATCCCCCTCTTTTTCTGGCGAACCCCCCCCCCCCACTTCCTTCTTCAAATCACCCAAATAAGCCCTCCAACCCAACTACTGCACTGCAGACCCACCCACACAAAGACCTTTTCAAACATATCTGCTTTTATAGCATTATTTAGACCCATAAAGCACAAAAATCCCCTTGCTTTGGGGGTTTCGCCAACCCCACCGGGGCTTCGACCGTGGACCTCACGCCCAGAATCCTCCCTCCCCCACCCTTGGGAGAACCTGGCTACGGGCATGGTTGTCCTCAACCACCGTTGTCTATAGATATAAACGTAGGCCTAGGTAATATATATGTACTTGTTGAAATTTAATACCCTGTACATTTGTCTTCATCATGATATTTAGGCACGCGAAAAATAAACTTAATGTGATTTACTTGTAGGACTTTAAACTGCCGGAATTCACCTGGAAACGAAGCACGGTAAGTTAACCAAAGAGGCACATCGAACAAAGAAAACAAATGGATGGACGGATGGATGGATGGATGATAGAATGAATGCTGAATGAATAAACGAACTAACGTACCAACAAATGAATGAATAAATAAATAGAGGAAGTACGGAAGAATGGACAAAAACATAAACAAACGAATGGATGGATGGATGTATTACCTTATTGAATAAACGCATGGATAAATAGATATGCCCTAAAGTTAAAACTCTATGGCATTAATTTTATCTTAAGCAAACGGGCAGTATGTTTGTCTTTTATAGTTACATTTTTCATTAAACTATGCTTATCCCATTTTATATTTTTAGAATGTAACTCACGGAACAATAACGGTTCAAACCGATACAAAACCTACTTTAATTCGTGCCTGGATGGCCAGTACGCCGGTGTCGAGTAAAAGGTAAATGGTGTGTTAAGAGGGCTTGATGTCACTAAATGTTAACGTGTTCTCATTTATAATTCGTTCTTAGTAAAGTTTATGCATTCGATACAATTTCCACGCATTTTGATGAATGTTTTTGAAATGTATGATTATAATTACAGGTCTCCCTTTAATTAAATACTTCCCTAATTAAATACCACCTCTAATTAAAGACAATTTTCTGTGATCTGAAATTAACAAATGTCTAATTAGAGACCATGGAAACCCATAAGTGGTCTTTAATTGGAGGGAGACCTGTATATTATTATTAATTCAAATAAATAAATTAATTAAAAGACATGAAAGTTCGTTCATTATTCTAGGCGGGATTTTCGACTTTTGATTGCGACGGAACCAGGTGTCGACAAGACGCCCAAGCCACAGCCGATTATATATCTTAAGTACGATGTGCATAATCCGGTAAGAAATTTACATGAAACGTCACGCGTTACTATTTCTTTTATAATCCACGAAATTTGCGTCATATTTAAAAGGATTAATGGGACTCGGATCGATGCCCTTCAAATTTGTAGGCGGCTTAAAGTGTATCGGATTGTCTTGGTTGTGAGGACAAAAATATAAACATTTCTCACCGTTTGAATAACCAGATCACATCTCTATTCCTAACTTAATTATAACATTACAGATTAATAATTATTACTGTATTGTAACTGCGCAGGGAGAATGATAGACTGCGCAGCGAGAAATTTGTTGTGCATTCCAACAGCCGACACAACTTCTTTTTTTTTTTTGTAGAGTACCGGTGTGTATGTTGCCGAATTCAAAAACCCATTGATGGGTTGGTCATGTTTCTTTATCGAGGTGAAAACACATGTTCTTATATTTATTTACGATTGTAGTGACAAAACGTATACACACATATACCTCCCGATAAAATAGTATTAACATTTTCTTGTAATATTTTAATGACGCAGGCAACATTTCCAGGGAAGTCGAACACCACGTTAACATTCACAACTGAGGCTAACATCATTCCGAATGTCTTTCCGTTCGATGACTGCAGTGGCGATGACTGTAGGGGTATCCTGTTATAAAAACATGACACAACTACAGCAGAGCTTCCGGTGACTGTATTGCAGAGATTGATCCAGTGAATGACCCTTGAATCGAGTATGAGAAGTCCCGGATTAATCATTGATAAAACTGTCTCATTTGCGATTTTAACGTAGATTCTTGCGTTGGTATCAATGATTATCGCTGATTACTTTTTCAATGACATAATAGTTTTATATACATTACTGCATTAACCGAGGTCGTATATTTATTACTGCATCATATGACATTAGGCCTATTTCGAATTATTTTTACATTAATGAATAATTGAATTGACGATTTAGTAATAAAAATATGTTACAACAAGTTTATAGCCTGTTGAATGCTAGAAGAGGCTAAGTATGTAAGTAAAGTTTATTTTGTAAATCAGAGTAAAATAAAAGATTCGGAGTAAGAAAGAATACGAAGAGAGTTGTAGCAACATTTGTGCACACGAACGAACGGGCGCATATTTAAGTGGTGGATGAATGGATGAATAAGCGCCGCTCTCGAATTAGCGCTGCACCGACGTGATTTTTTCGTTGAGCGCCGCTTTCCTGCGCTTATTCAAGAGTATATATTACTCTGTGTGTAATGAAACACATTGAGTAACAGGGTTTTAAATACAATGAATGCAGTGTTAAAGTGAATAAATAACACAATGAATACGCAAGCACTTCTTTATAACGTTTATTCGAGCATTTACAGTAACAGAGTGGTGCAGTGACACAAATAAGAAAGAGCACATTAACTTGACGGTGATGATGATCAGTAGGGTACAGGTTGCGGTTCAGGGCCGCTCTAACCTTGACGTCGGGTTCGAATCAAAATCGCATTCAAAGGCGCAGATCTGTTTTGAAATGTGGAAGGGTACATTTCGTGAGACCACACCTATCATGGTTGGCGCTGAGATGCGAAAATTTGAGGAAATAGTACCTCTAGATCGCCGGAAATGACACTTTTATAGGCCTATGGTAAAATTCATCATCATTGCATCACATTTTTAATGCCTTTTATCAGCGATTTTCGGCAACCAGAGATCTAATATGTGTGATGTAAATACTTTAATTTACCTACTTTCAAAGCCGTGAGTCCACAACCACCTCAGCCCCATCATGGTTGGGGCTGAGGTGCGAAAATTTGAGGAAACAGCACCTAGACGGCCGGAAATGACACTCTTATAGAATACTAAAAGTCGTCATCATCACATCTGGTCAAAATGAAGCACCAACAATTTTTTTCGGCAATCACAAAGACCTCAATAATCTGTGATGTCCCATAGAAAATAAAAGGAAAACAAAATCGTCTTTGATGTATTTACTTTACTTTATCTCCTTCAAAGATCCATCTCAGCTCCACCTTGGTTTGGGCTGAGGTGCAAAAAATTGGGGAAATAGTACCTGTAGATGGCCAGAAACTCTTATAATAGTAAAAAAAATTGTTCATATATATCATATACAGTATAACGTGAATTATATTTCGAAAATCCAAATATACAAATATAAATATAAAGATGTGAAAATACTGACTAAGGAATGGCTAATTAATTGTTAATTTTAATATGCATGAATGTTGTACTTGTAAAACGCATCAGTACCGTAAAACCTCGAATAGAAGCCCATAGGCTTAATCTCGAGAAGAAGCCGATCTCGAATTGAAGCCCTCTCTTTAGTTTTCAAAAGTAGCCTCGAAAAGAAGCCCATGTTGATACATACACTGTATATAAGTTTCAAAGAAACAAGATAAATTAAAACACGCTTTGTTTATATAGTAGTTATGATTTAGTGCCGGTTAATACACTTCATGATACAGATATATGTTACAGTGGCCCTATTTATTGTTTTATATTAGTAATTCCCACAATTTACAGCATTCATTTTGAACAGAATCCCCCCTCTTTACTTTTCAAAAGTAGCCTCGAAAAGAAGCCCATCCAAAAAACAAAGAAGCCCAGGGCTTCTATCCGAGGTTTTACGATATGCTATTTATTTCGAGTGGCATCATTATTATTAGATGTAAGTAGGAATTTTTCAAACTTTTGTACAAATACGTAAATTTAACATAAATATAAATATTGTGGCCGCGCCTCTAATCAATATTGATAATCAAGATATACAAAAAACCCCAAAGAACAAAACAAAACAAAATATGTCAGTGATATAAGACAATAATAAATAAAAATGCACATCTAATATCATGATTTTTCGATAATTTGGTTATCTTTCATTTTAATCGTTTTTCAAATTAATTCTGACAAACTATAGGCCTTGTTGTTAGAATTATGAATTCTAAAGGAAGCTTTTAACATAATGTGGTTACGCCTTTTTAAATGTTAATTGGTGGTAAGCGAAATTTGAAGATATTCAGTGTTTAGCTCAAAGCGGAAACAAGGACAATAAAATAATTTTTTTAAATTGCTTACTTCGAATATTTAAAATGCGGACGTGGCTTATCAGTTTGAAGTGAAATTCAAATGAGAATTAAAACCAGAAAATATTATTTTCTCACCAATTAACAAACGCATGTTAATACCGTTACCACACATAATTTTATTTTACCACTCAAAACTCAAACGTAATGAGTCTGGTAGGCAAAAAGGGAACATATCCATGTACAAGATGCAACAGAGACAAAATAATAATCGGTAGCGATAACATCAACAAAAACAATTAAAAAAAATAAATAATGATAATAATAAAATTAATAATAATAATGATAATAATAATATTTATAATAATAATAATAATAATAATAATAATAATAATAATAATAATAATAATAATAATAATAATAATAATAGCAATAATAAAAGACCATAATAATAATAATAATAATAATAATAATAATAATAATAATAATAATAATAATAATAATAATAATAATAATAATAATGAAAGATAAACATTAACAACAATATGCTTGAAAAATTGACTAGCAAATGTAGTAAACAAGCGAGATGAATTATTTCAACAATATTCATAGATGCTCAAAAACGAAATTAAAAATGTTACTTTTCCTGAGAGAGGTTGAATGAATATTTACTGTATAAACAAAAATCACTTTTGACTGTGTTCACCTCACACTTCATCTGTAGAAATTCAACTCGTGTTTAAATATCCGAAATCGAGAACATAACTTATTTTACTATTATTCTTATTGCTGACAGTTTCTTATTGAGTACCCACCCCTTGGCGCATAGAAAATCTAGGCAATTTTGAGAAATTTGAAGCTGATGAAACGTGTTAGCACGTATTATGCCCAAAATATACTGTTGTATTAATTTCTGTTTGTATTCCGAAGATAGCTGATGAGGGATGGGGCATTGGCTTCTTTTATAGATGGCGATTATACAGTAGAACCCCTATTAAAGGGAAACCTCTGGGACAAAAAAAAATGTGACCCTTAACAGGAGTATCCCCTGGATAGGGGTATCCTATTCAGGGGACACTAACCAAACTGTCCCCTTAATAGGGTTTTTTTTTATCATGTTTTCATACAACAATGACATACACTCTTTATGATTCTATTTTGACTAACAGAAAGAATCAGTTACAGTAGAACTAATTTATAGCAATAATTTGCAATGCAAATACAATTCATTTATAATATGAAATCAGCAGAAATGCAATTAAAATAGCAATAGTTTTATATGTTCTCAATATTATTTTATGATGCAATTTTAACGATCAAATATATATATTTTTAATATTGAGCTTTCTATTGTATGGATGTAGCATGAATAGAGTAGCGAATTATAATTAAGGATGCATGTTATGGATTAGAATCCTATATGAGTATACACGAAAAACAAAGAAAAATATCCCATGTTAAGGGTAAAAATTGACAATATTGGTTTATATGAAGTAACATGCAATATATCGATGTTCACTCTAAGGATTTAGGGAAGAAAATTCTGGTTTATTGTTCAAAAGGCGCATCCAATTGAAACACAGGGAAAGTAAAGAATGGAATTGAACTGGGTACCAAAAGAGTTAAAGAACAGAATTCACATTTATATACATGGTATTAACTTGCAGCGGTCGTCAGCATGTTGAACAGTCGCCCTCTGGGTCTTGATAAGAAAAAGACAGCCACCCATGTTCAAGCTAAAAAACCTATAGCTTCTCACCGGCTCTGTAGAGATGTTACAATAAAGGATGGATTTGAATATTCCAGGATCAGAGATATAGGCCTATACTTTGATCAGCCTTCTCGCGCCAGGATTTGTTTAAATAGTGGTGGAATTTCAGAAATTGTTGTCCAAAAAATTTAAAGGGTGGTGTGCAAAATTTTAAAGGGTGCATTAAAAATTTGGACACTCCCGTCCCCCGACAAAAAAAAATATATTAGATCAATCTCCAGTTGGAGTGTCTCTAGTCATGGAGCTATAATATTAGATGTTATAATTTTGTAATAATGTTCGAGTGCATGTTTGCCGTTGTGCGAATTAGCGCCCCTCAAC